AGTTGATACCAAGTGCTAAACTTCCATTTCATAGTTTTAAATTGAAACTTTCAATATGTGGTCTGAAAGATATCTGAAAGATAGCAAAAGCTCTACAGGTTGCCAAATAAACAGTCATGTGCTTAAAAATGAATGCTCTGGCCAGCTCAGTAACACCAAAAAGCCTAGAAGACCACAAAAACCCAAGAGTCAAGAATACTTTTTGGTATCTCCCCTGGTTAAGTGTGGGACCCTGGGTTCGATTAAACCCCCAGACCATTTCCTACACTCACACTCGCTATCGCCATACTTTTCATACTCTCTAGTATGTAAGTAAGTATCCTGGGGTCTCGTTCACGTGTGAGTTAAGAGGGCGATTGAGGACGGTCCTCTCTACAGTCCTCTCCCATAAAGGCAGACAGAAGAAACCAGGATGAACTGGTACCAGAATGATGGAAAGAAAACATTATAAAGAAGGAGAGAAACAGCTCATGATCTGAAGCAGACTGTCCCATAATGCCATGGGTATGTGGTGCCAGTGGTAAATGGACTGGTACTTATATTGCTCCTTTCTACTCAATTGTGACCCCTCAAAGGATATTCTAATACAAGTCTCATTCACTCGATCTCATACACACATTCATGCAGTGCTTTTATCTATACTTAAGCACTTTTATCTAAAATTCAGAGACACACTCCAATGAATAGGGGAAGTGAGGGGTATCTTGCCCAAGGACACTTCAACACGTGGACTGTAGAATAAAGGACTGATTCACCGACGTTCCGATTGGTAGACAACCCACCTGAACCACTCCAAACAGAAACTGCTATCACTGGTAAGATTTTAGTTTCTATTCAAAGACCGAATTCAGGCAAATATAGCAGCTCACTGAATGTGTGAGTCTGTCTGCTGCAAAGATTTCTGCTGTTTCGACTCGTCAACACATATGTTGTGTGAAACATATTGCTTCAGTCCTGTGTAAAAACGGACAGACTAACTTTCAAAACTAAAACAGATGAAGACAGAATTATTAGTCACCCTACAAGAGTGTAATTTTAAAAAAAAGTATTTCCCTAGTGTCCTTTTAACAGAGCAGATGATAGCATTTCCAACAAACTAGTTTCCTTCAGAAAGCATAGATTATTTCTATTTGCACACAATAACATCATTATTTCAAAGAAAACAAAAGTTTATTATTGCAATGCGGATTCATACGGATTCTTTGACGTTTTCTGTCAAAATCTTCATATATCCTTTCTTCATAATTGCCCCCATCTCAGTGAGATTCCCAGTTCAAGACAGAGAGAAGCATTCCCACAGCATAACACTCCCACTACTGTTTCACTGTGCAGATGGTGTTCTTAGATTAAAGTTATGTTTTGATTTATGATTTATCTGAAATGCTTTATTATTAGAAAATAGGGAAAAGCTCTGTTTTAGCATGCTGATCATTTTAATTCACATAAAGCTGGATGTTAAGACCTACCAATACTGGTAAATTTTGTTTTTTTCTGAAATTATTTTAATATTGTGTGCAAACAGAAATGATTTATGATTCAAAATGCTATATTGAAAATCCCTTTGCCTGTTAAAAAAGCACTTGGGAAAATTTTGACAAAAGCTTTGGGGTGGGGGTGCAGTTGTCTTCATCTACAACTAAAGGATCACAATGATGCAGCATTTCACCTTCATGATCTGCTTCAGCGTTTCATTGCAAGCTCCGAGTTTGGTCATGGCGAATGCGGTGGAGACGCTGATGGGGGACATAAAGATGTTAGACTCGGGGCTCCTGCCAAGAGCCAGCTGTTTGTACAGTGACAGAGCAAAGCGTCCATTGGCCTTTGACAGTTCCCATACTCGGGGATTGGTGAAGTTAGGGAGTGCCTCAGGCTCCAGCGATGGTCCCTCAGGGAACTCGGGGCTGCGATAGACACAGTATGGCTCCAGAGAGAGGTCCTTGGGTTTGGCAGAGCAGATGTCTATACCGATAGCAACAGAGAGGAATGGCAGGAACACCAGAACCAACAGGCAATCGGCAAACCTCATCCTGGAAAAAGGACGAGCAAGAAGTGAGCTTATAATATTGCAGCTCAGTCCATTTGACTTCAGTTTTTATTGGAAGTCTGCCAATTTCAAGCACAAGACCTTTTTAATACCACATACAATTGAGTGCATTTTTCATAAACACTTAAGTTAGAATGAAATCAACAGTAGATAACGCTCTTGAAAGAGTGTAAAACAGCTAACTGATCATACGCATAGGAATGTTTTATTTATAGAGTTTCAGTTCGGGAAGGTTACAGATGATCTTCTTATGGCCTCTGACAGTGGGGGTCATCTCTGTGCTTGTCCTGCTAGACCTCAGTGCAGAGTTTGATACTGTTGACCGTAATATTTTATCACAGAGATTAGAGCATGCTGCAGGTATTACAGGTGCTGCATTGCAGTGGTTTGTACCGTATCTATCTAATAGACTCCAATTTGTTCATGTAAATGGAGAGCCTTATTCACACACCAAGGTTAATTATGGAGTTCCACAGGGTTGAGTGCTAGGACCAATTCTGTTTACATTATACATGCTTCCCTTAGGTAGTAACATCAAAGGCATAGCATAGCATAGCATTTTTCACTGCTATGCAGATGACAAACAACTGTATCTATCCATGAACCCAGATAACACACACCAATTAGTTCAATTGCAAGAAAATCCTAAAGACATAAAAACCTGGATGAACTCTAATTTCCTGCTTCTAAATTAAGACAAAACCCCTAAACGTCTAACCAGATACTTACTTTGGATGGCATTATCTTGGCCTCCAGTAACACTCTGAGGAACCTTGCAGTTGTTTTTGACCAGGAAATGTCCTTCAATGCACATATTAAACAAATATGTAGGACTGCTTTCTTCAGTTTGCACAACATCTTTAAAATTAGGAATATCCTGTCTCAGAGTGGCGCTTAAAAATTAGTTTGTGCATTTAATCCTTCTAGGCTGGACATTTGTCATTATTATCAGGATGTCCTAAAAACTCTGTGAAAAGCCTTCAGTTGATCTAAAATGTTGCAGCAGGAGTCCTGACAGGGACTAGAAAGAGAGAGCATATTTCTCCCATACTGGGTTCTCTTGTTGGCTCCTTGTTAAATCCAGAATCAATTTTAAAATCCTTATCATCACATACAAGGTCTTAAATAATCAGTCCCATCTTTTCTAAAAGACCTCATATTACATATAACCCCAATAGAGCATTTCACTCTCAGACTGCAGGGTTACTTGTGGTTCCTATGGGATATAAAACTAGAATGGGAGGCAGAGCCTTCAGCTTTTAGCCCTCTCTTCTCTAAAACCAGCTCTCAGTTTGGATTCAGGAGACAGACAGCCTCTCTACTTTTAAGATTGGGTTAAAATGTTCCTTTTTTGATAAAGCATATAGTTAGGGCTCAATCAGGTGACCCTGAATCCTCCCATAGTCAGGCTGCAATATGCCTGGGTTGCTGGGGGAGTGTTTCTTCTTCACTCACTATGTGTTTATACACAACTCTACTTTTAGTCATTAGTTATTATTCATCTCTGGCTCTTTTCCACAGCATGGCTTTGTCCTGTCTCCCTTCCTTCACTCCCAGCGGGTCGCAGCAGATGGCTGCCCCTCTCTGAGCCTGGTTCTGGCAGAGATTTCTTCCTGTTAAAAGGGAGTTTTTCCTTTCCAGTGTCACCAAGTAGTTGTTTATATGGGTTCATTTAATTGTTGGGATTTTCTCTTTTTGTTTCTCTATATTCTTGTAGGGTCTTCACCTTTGGTGCTATATAAACAAAATTGATCTATCCATTGATCTATTATTTTGTATGTCTTTTATAGAACGAACATACACTATTAGAATAACAACAAGACAAATAGAATAGAGTTCCTTCCATCTTTGTCATCTTCAACTGTTCATTTGTACAAAGCTGGATCTTCTATTCACCATCAGCTCTTTTAGACAAACTTTCCAAACACTGCTAGCACAGAGACAAAACGCAATCTAAGAGAGAACTAAAATAATCCCAAAGCCAATGAACTTCATATAACACAAAACACCAGGAACATGTCGAGCATTAACTTTGCTAAAAACAGCAGCCAGGATCAACAAAAATACAATATAATAATATACTCTTTAAACATCAATACTGAATACAAGGATAGCATAAAGTCACAAGTGTGTAAAGTTCAAAACAACTAGAAACATTTTCCCTATCAAGCACCAGATCATCAACATTTTTAACATAAGACACTGACTTCACTAAAGCACGTTTGCTGTGTGGCATCACAAACACGATATTCTACTCTAGTCTACCATATGCATATTTCACTGTTATAGCAGAAAAAGAATAAAATTAAAGATTGGGTCTTACTTGACCAGGTAGAGCTGTGAGTGTTCACACAGGCAGATTTGTGCGGTTTGAGCTGAACTCAGGTCAGTGTCCTGCAGAGCACACAAACAACAAATCAACCTTTGAGACATTGATCCACTGTTAGTCAGAACAATCTGCAGCCATCAACAGAAAGACGCATTCGCCCACACAATGACGACTGGAGCAGTCATCCCACAACAAAACATCCTTAGAACAACTAATTCTTTACCACTAATGGAACAAAATGTCTTCTTATGATCACAAATCACATATTTAAATACTAGATTTTATGAAATATTTTAAGAAACAATTCTTGGAAAATGTTACATTTGAATTAAAACAGGTTTGACATGGTGAGTCACTTCAGTTCATCCTCTGTCTGATAAACGATCTTTAAACTCAACTCCACAATCTCTTTGAAACAGCCTTCTTCTCCAAATACTTTGGGACTCTTTTAGTCTTTACCTTAACAGGACAGCTTTGTGAGAGAGAGCAGGAGGACAACACAACAAAAGGCAACACAGATTTAAACCCGGGCCACTTCGACAGCAAACGGGCCAACTGCTCAACCTGGTGAGTTAAACCATGGCCCCAAACCCGATTACTTCTGACTGTCTGTATGTGAAAACAGATTTCAACAGCAGGTGGTCGGACAGTCGGTGTTCAAGGTCAGAGCTGTGTACTATGAAAAGGCCATGTTAGGGATGTCCTCTGAGCTTCAAGGATTACTTGTAAAAACATTGGCTCTCATTTCCTGTAGTGGGTGTCATTTACGAACAGTTCATAGGCACAAATGTTCGCATAAATTATGCATACAAACATTTCATGGAAAAATCAGTTATTAATCTGTTATATTTTCATACCTGGATTCATTTGAACTTAGCAAAGAAATCAGCAGCCTGGCTGCCTTAGAAATCTATACACAAACCTTTAAATTTACCACCACTACTACAATAAGCAGTAATTGCCTTTCAGTCATTATTTACAGTTTTCCAAAGTACCATAAGCCACAAAATGCTCAGAATTAAAGTTAAAAACAATGAAGCCTACAAATGAAGCTAACTAACCTGGAGGGCATACAACAAGTTTTGGAAGGACATCCAGCACCATATAGACAACTTTATTAAAAGGAGCTGGTGCCCCAAGATGAAGTGAAACTCAAAATACAACAATGCCACAGAGCTCTCAGGCCAGAGTAGTGTAGCCTCAGTCAATGGTTTGTTTGCTTTCAGGAATTTCAAACCAAAGAACGATGCTCCTCACTGCATGGAAAAAGAAGGGGATACTCCGTGACTGGAGGAAACATTTTGAACATGATTAACCCACAGACAATCTGGCAAAGAGAGAGCCTTAGGCACCAATAAGCAGAACGTTGTGGGAGAGGGAAAACCGCCTCCTGCCAAACTACATGTGTACAACAGCGGGCTGGTAATGCACAGCAGCGCACGCAAGGGAGCAGAGGATTTAAAGAAAAGGGGATCCCGATTCATCTGGAGAAACCAAATGGACCTGCTGCACAGGATACCGCAGAGGTGAGACAGAAGAGGGGTTGGCTGCAAGCCGGGAGATGACAGCCAACAGTCACCAGGAGACGATCAGAGAGACTGCAAAGCTTCACGGGGCACCACTAAGTGACAAGATTGTAACTGAAGGCAGCAGGTTGAACTAAATGCATTACAGTAATGAGAAACTTTGTAAAAGATGAAGCTAGGAGTTAGAAAACTTCATATTAAGTAACAAACATGCTGACTACTATTTATGTGGAGTATAGCTAATGTTTACTAGGTGATTGTTAGTTTAAAGAACAAAAACAAAAACCTTTTCTAGAATGATCACGTTTCCTTGGCTCCGGCACGGACAGAGTTCTGGTTCTGAGGCTCTGGTGGGTGTGGAAATACTCATTTCTAACAGAGTACATTTCCAGATGACGTCTGAAGTAAGCAACACCATCAGCTGCAGTTTTAATAGAATTTCCTGGGAAAATTTTATTTGTGGATTCATAAATACTAAAACAAATTGTTCATGAGACATTTTACAGAAGAGGAAAATATGACACAAAAAGTCCATCAAACACACAAATCTGATCAACTCAATAGACTATTAGTTCATTAACACACTGAGCACACCATTCAAACTTTAATGGTTTTTAAAAAGAAACCAGGTCTCCAGTAAAAAAAAAAAAAATTTCGTATTAGCAACAGTCCTGAGCTCCTTGAGCAAAGCAAATTCCACTTAAAGTTTAAGAGGTTTGTTTAGTCTGGTTTACACGGTGTCATAAGAGTTTGGGCAGCTATCTTAAATTGTTTAGCCTCCAGCATTTTTCTGCATCCCAGAGAATTGCTAGGACTAAAGACGGCAAATTTCCAGTGACAGCCAGTGTCCATGGAAACCAGGACGTCTATCAGACCAGCTGAGAGTACCTAGGACACACCAGGCTTCAACTATTTATAAAAGCTTAGTGCATATTACAGTTCAATATGGGGTTGCTTTACTGGTGATGTGGGCATCAGAAGAGTTTGGGCAGCTGTCTCAGGCGGCTCAGGTCCAGGATGTTTCCCAGTGATCCCTCTGTCAGACGGAGGTTTGCCCTGACAAAAGATGGCTGCCTGTTGGAATCGTTCTTTTTGTCACTGGTATGTGGTTCAGTGTGGTTGGCTAATAGCTGCATTTTGGGGCGCAGATCCTGGATCAGCTGACTCTGTGGGAGGAACCTCGCATTCACAGCTTCTGTCAGGGGCTCACGATCTGATGTCTCCTGAACTCCCACCTCCTTTTGCTCCACCTCATCTTCGCCATCCTCTTCCTCGATCAACCCATACTTTCTCATGTACTTTCTGGTGGCCAGAGACATGTTACTAGGTGATGGCAGAGAATCACTGGTGGAGGAGGGAGTGAGACTAGAATGAGGAATGTGGCCTCCCAAGGACAGCCTGCTGAGCTGAGAGTCACTCAAGTAGTGCAGGGCAATGGCGTTGGCCTCCAGGCTCAGATCCACGCTGCCTCCTGGACACAGAGCGCTGGCTGTCGGCTCAGAAACACTCAGTCTAGAAAGTACTGCTGCCGGGTTGATGCTGGCCAGAGTGCTGACAGTACACAGAGAGAAAAACAGTCATAACATCGGCTATGAACTTGTTGTGCAGACGCATTACATTCCAACACTGACAGGATAAAGTGTAGCAGCATAGTTAAGATAACGCAGACCTTTCATCTACCTTAGTGAAATGCAAATTCCTCGATAACTTGTGTCTTATCGGATTTAGGCTGTGCATTTGAGAGTTACACAGGGGAGTCAGGCATCTCTGATTTGTTGCCTTCAATTTCAGACTACACAGTGTGTCCAGAGTTGTATGCAGTGATGAATGTAACACTGTAAAAAAGCCAATCAACCTCAGTGGGAGTAGAGTTTAGGTAGCTGTTCTGCACATGGCGTTTAAGAACATAACAGTAAAAAAGTAATCATATCCCTAAAATGACACAGAGCTTTCAGAAAGATATCTACTGCAATTCAATTTATTCCCCACTGCTTTGTAATGCATTACTGTAAAATTCAATTTGACTAGAAAATCTTTAGAAGAAAAATAAAACAGTGCTTTCAAGGAATATTGTTAAATGTTCAGTTTCCATGCCATACATCAGAACAAGATGCACCATGTGATTCAAGTGGTGAGATCACTTAAATTTCGAGAGACGCTAACTGAGTCTAATAATAGAATAAATGCCATGCTGAGGCAGACATTTTCAACATTTACATGGACATTTTAAAAAAAAAAAAAAAAAACCTCACCCACAATAGTCATTTACTAACATGGAAAAGAGAGACCTAATGTTTATTAATCCACATTTCACCATTTTACTCTTTTTTTGCAGTTGACGATGTCATATTGTTCTTTGTGATATATTTGTTTTTAATAATCAGGAGGAAAGAAGCAGCAGAGAGGCGTATAAGACTGAAACTCTGCTTCCTGGTCCCAACACTGAATAGTCACATTTTAGGGGGGTTTAATAAATTTAGACCGATTTCTAGAAATGAGAGCAGCTTCATCCAAAGTGGGATGAATGCCATCTCTCCAAACAAGATCAGGTTTTTCCTGGAAACTTCCCAATTATCTGTGAAGCAGACATTTTTTCCGTACACCACTCAGAGAGTTAGCAATTTCAGGTCTGATTGGGGAGGGGACCAGAGAAAACTTCACTGAAATCTGGATTCATGAACCTGTACCTAAGTTCAAGCAGCAGTCTGTAGTACAGTTGAGCAGGCTGCAGTAGGAGCCTGCAGCTCTAGATGAGTATTACTTTCATGTTTAAGGGTGGCACACACACATATCCGTGTGTGAGGCATTTCAGTACCTGGCAGTTTCCACAGCTTTCCGATGGTTTTTGCCAGACTCTGTCAGAACTTCTTTGTCCACGTGGACTCCGAGCTGCTGCAGCTGCCGCAGTGTAGCGCTGACCACCGGGTCTCCTACTGGACTCTGCTGCTGCTGCTTCTTGCTGGATGAAGAGGACGACAAGGACGGGAAGGACTGAGAACAATCAGAAACTGCTGACAGACTCCTCGTCCTCCTGGATTCGTCCTCCACTTCCTGTTTGCTAGGTGACTCCTGAAGACGACTGGTGAGTTGAGTCTGAGACACAGAGCAAAAGTAATTATCTTTAAATGACATGCACAGTTCTGTCCTTTGTACCCAGAGAACAAATGAACCCTGTGTTAATTCATACTGACCAATGGAAAGGAAAAAAGGAAAGGAAAAAAAAAAGTAGTTCAATTTGGAATTAAAATGTAATAATACACAATCTTTGTGTTTTAGGTTACTTTTACTGAACAGTGATGTCCTTTGATTGATCCTTGTGGGGTTTTTTCTGTTAATGTTTGACATATTATGTTTTCATCAGGAGGAGGAGGAGAGG